GCATGTTACATGAGCCTTGCGCAAGTGAAAGCTAATGGAAGCCACATCGCCCTAGCGCTGCCTAATGCAGAATTTCTAGAAAGCGAACATTCTCGAAGTCTAGCTTTACCTCGGCTTAATGAATCACTTTCCAATTTACACTCGATTGGTTACGAGCCCAAGTAACCTCCGCCGCCTCGGCGTCTGCCCTCACTCGTGCCGCCTTTCCCGCTGCCCGTGTTCCGCCGCCGAAGCCCAGCCAAAACCGCGTCAAGAACCTCCAAATCCCGGAGCCCCCAAATCCCGCACTTAGCCGGATTTTTCGCACCTTCCTGGGTTTTCTGCCGCTGCCGTCCAAGCCGTCCGCATCGTCAGCCAGCGTTCCCAGCGTCTCTCCGACCAGCTCCACATCACTACAGCTCTAGCTGTTCTCATTTTGTGAGGGTACGGGGCTGTACCTTTATTGGGAAAGACTGTAAGTGCGTGTCTGGATTGGCACTAAACTCCTAGTAGGGTTTGCCATTTTATGCGAAATCCCGTCAAGTCCCTCGTAAGTGCGACCGAAGGAACAAGTTGCGCAAGAAGCGTCAAGTCAAGGCGAAAAAGACCGCGCCGTTGAAGAAGGTTTTTCGCCGCCTTAAGGAAGTCACCAGTGCCGATAAAGTCCAACAAGTTCTTGTTGACGCACTTAAGCGGGTTGAGCGAATTTCGAAGCATCTCCAAGAATTACCACCTCTGTTATGGAATGATTGCAGGTGGGTCAGATGGACAACTTCCCAAGCGATGATTGGTATAAAAATTGGTGGCTAAAATCCGCTTATTTCCACGAATATGTTAGTATTTTTCCTTGATTTATATTTTCCATTTCGATCCAAAACCGAAAGGCCAAAGTTTCATACAAAAACCAAGATAAACTTGACCAAAAACCAACGCCTAGCGATATACCAAGAGCTTTGCCTACGGAGCAGCGCTGGCAAGCTGTGATTGAGATGAACGGCAACAATCGTTACAAGATTCCAAGAGCCAAGGCGATGAATGAAGAAATGCAGGCTGTGGCGGAAATGAATTCGAGGATCGAAGAGGAAGATCGTTTGGAGGGGGTTTGTGAATTGTTCGGG